AAAGACATAGCAGAGGCTGCAGGGTTGTCCTGCTGTCCTCCAGTGCTACTTCTGTGGGTGTTTCTCCCCCAAGAAGGGTGCATGCTGCAGGAATCATGGTGAGGTATTTCTTTCTCTGACTCCACCGTGTTTATACCTTTTATGTGTTTTGTGTGGAGGATAATAAGCTGAAATAAGCTGACCTTTTTTCTAAGAGCAAAAGATAACTTTTCCCAGTGAGGGGCCTGCAGCGTGGCAGAGCAGTGAGCTCCTAGAAGCAGCTGTAGCTTCTTCACTGGGAGGCTCACACTGGTTTCTGGACCTGCTCTGTGGCATGAACTGGCAATGCCAAGCACCTGGATCACAGTTTGCAGTCTTCATGGAACACTTGATCAGAAGTCAAGATTCCTTGAGACATGTCACCTCTGTCTGTCTTAGTTAATAAAATAACCTTCCAACTGTGAAAGTGGCTTTAAGGACAGTGACACACTGCGCTACCTTGAGCACCCTCTCTGTGTTTATCTGAGACTGACCCTTCAAATGTCAACCCTCTTTGGGGGTTGGGAGAGGAGGCTGCTGAGATGGTGCAGGTGGGAAGACTGAGCACTTCAGAAGAGTGAAAAGATCCTCGGGTGGAGGTAATAGAGGTACTTTTACTTGTGGCTGGGGCTGAGCATGCCTTCAGCACTTCAGATGTTGCTGGGGAGGACAGTTTGTCTCCGGAGTTGCCTTTTGCAGAGTACTGTGCAGAGCCATGACTTTTTGGTCACCCCCTGAGGGGCACTGCTTGCACCTCAGATGGCATGTCACTTGTGTGCTCACGTGGCTAACCAGAGACGAGTCTCAGCGCTTCTGCAGAGCAGGGTTTCCTGTCGTTGCTGTAGCTCATCAGAGCCTGGGGATGTTTACCAGGCCTGACAGAGGCATGACCTTTATGTGAGGACCTGAGTTGCACTGCTCGTCCTGGTCTTGATGGGAAGCTGGGCTTGGAAATAGGCTCTGCTTTAACTGACTGGGGGATCTGGAAGGGTTGATAATGCAGCTCCCACTTTCAATGGAATGCCTTCTTCATCGGGGCAGGAGGAAAGCCTGTGTGCTGGTGTAACAATTAAGTGTGAACAAAAATAATGTAGCTTGTTTAGGAACATATAAAGCAAGTATTGTATCCATGGTGAAACCTACCATCTCCCAGCAAGGGCTGCCATTTCTTCCAACACCAGTTCTCGAGCCTGCTCAGGGTGGCAGGGCTTGGACTGGAGAAACCCCACACACTCCTCACTGTATTCTCTGTGCGCCACGTACAGCCTACCAGGCTGTCACCTAGGAGCAAGGGTGAAAAGAGCTTGGATATCAACCCCCTGTTTCTGTCCCTGCCACCTCCACTGGTGAGAGCAGCAAGCTGATGGGCTGACTCCCTGTGGAATACTGTCGCTACTGGAGGACATTTTGGCTGACTTTCTGCCTAGCCCATGTTGCCCTTCAACTTTCTTCCGACAGGAAAAAGAATACCTTCAGTGGTTCTGCACTGACATCTGTCAGGTCATGACACTAACATTTGCCCTGGGAGACACTGGTTCACTATTTCCTAGCCTTTTCAGTCTAAAAGTGTATTGGACAATTTACAAGTGACACTATATAATTTTTTAAAACAACAACAGAAAAACCCAAACCCAAAAATACACACCCAGTCTTCTGCTTTTGGATGTACTCTATGAATTTCTTTAGTGAACTAAAAACCACAGCTGTATGCTCGGTTTTGCTGCTGTTATACAACTGAGGTTAAAATTAACACATCTGTTGTTATTTAACTTCCATTTATATGGTACCCTGTTTTGCCAAAATACCATGTTTTGAGCAGCAACAGCTTTACTGTTATTTCTCATCGGAGTTCTGGAAATAGTACTTAATACTACGTGCTATGTCTTAATAGCTCATACCAAAGCAAGGACCTGGGGCTCCACTGCTGCTTTGCATGGCGAGGAGCAGATGCTGAGTGCTGAAGGACACTTCTCTGCTCATGTGGCATGACACGGAGTGGTTTTTTTGATTTTTCTGCTCATGGCTAAGTCCTTGAAGTGATGTGGTTTACTGGAACGGTGACACCTGTGTTTTCACCCTCTCAGTTGTGGAGTCAGACTTAAATAGTAGGATCTTGGGGCTCAGGAAAGCCTGTAGTGTTATGGCTTTAACCCAGTTCAGCTTCTTTCTGAATGCCTAGAAAGGACAAAATGGGGACTTTTAAGGTAGGAGATATATATATTAAAAATATATATATTCAGTCTGAGTCCTTTATCAAAAAAAACCTCAAACTTTTTGAAATGAAGGAAGCTGTACTCAAAAAAAATCTGCCAGTCTGCCACAAAAGCAGGATCCTGAAAATTGCCAGGAGTAGTATCAAATGTTTGGTGTAGGAGGCAAAAAGCTATTGTTTGGAGTTTTTAAATCTGTTTATATTTGACTTGTTTTGTACTGCGCAGATCAGAGGGAAGAAAAAACACATCCTCACTAAAAGGAATAATTGTCAAGTTTACAGTATGTAAATTACCCTCAGCTCATATAAGTGGGTTTTGCTCACCTTTCTTCCACACACAAGGTTTCAAAGGCAGGTGTTGTTAAATTACATGCGGAATGGGCTGGAGGGAGGGACCAACACCCTTCTGATTTCACAGAAAAATAATTAAACTGGAGCTGCGGTCTGGCTTTGATCTCAGAGGTGCTTGCAAGCAAAATAAAAATAAAAGAGTACCTTGGGGGTGGTCTGTGCCATTAATTAACTAGCAAAATTCTGCCTCTACTGTTCTCTAGCGGGTTTCCAGCAGCTTTGGCACTCGGCGTTGTGACTGGAAGTTGCCAAACACAACTTGGCACCTTTCAGCAGCAAAACAACCTCCTGAGGGGCGGGAAGCCATGCGCAAAATGGAGGTGTCCGAGGAACCGATGGCGAAAAAAGGCAGAAAGTGGACACTGGGGGAGGGATCCTGCTCCTCTCCCCAAATCCCCCTGGTGACCTGCGGCTGGTGGCCTTGGTGCCGGCTGCTGTCCCTGGCCTGCAGGAAGGTTGGGCTCCTGCCAAGAAAACAGCTTTTGTGTTTCCTTAAATATTCTGCCGCTGTTTGTGGTGGGCAGGGGTGGGGAGCAGGGGCGGGGGAATCTGAATTGCTGTTATTACTAGACTTGGCCAATTGTCTGAATTTATTTTATTTTTTAAATTTTCCTTAACAAATCCCAGTAGATTCTGTTTTGCCAATGAAGTAATGAGGTTGTTTTCAGATGAGGAGGCAGATCTTGCCAGCACCGCTGCAGCTGAAATGTGGGCAGGCTTGGGCAGCCAGAAAGGCAGGGCAGGCTCCTCTTGTGCAGCCCGTGGGAGACAGTGAGGGCGGGATTTGCACTTTGGCCCCTGGTGATTCATCTGTTTTTTTCTCTGAAACTGCAGAAACTTGGAGTGATTGGGGTGGGGGGAGCTATGAGTTGGCTATTGGAAGCTGCAGTTGTTTGTTTTAGTATCTGCTTTGATACCGTGGCAAAGAGATTGAGAAAGTTTGCCCGTAACATGAGTAGATGTTTGTCTCTATTTTTTTAGACAGGTTTGTCTACCCTGTCTCTCTGAGCAGGGTGCCTGTGCACTGCTGCTTAATGTAGGAGATGGAAAAATGGAGACCAGCATCAGTTGCAGACTCTTCAAGACGTCCCTGAACTCTGTAAACAAGCAATAGCTTCCAAGCATGGTTTTGTTTCTTGCTTCTTGGGTGCATTGGGTGCAGTATCGGGATTTTTCTGGGTCACGAGGCAGTGAAAGCTACAGCTTTGTTCTCTGTGTCCTCTGGAAACTCAAAACATGGCGGTGGTTGTTGGCTTTAAGGAAAAGTTCCCCTGGCCCTAGCAGGCTTGTTCTCATCTTAAGGCATTGAAGTTACAAAATGATGATCCTGCTTTTGTTTAAATCAGCCTGAAAGATTTGCAGCTTCAGAGAAGTTGTCTTCAGTGAGTTCTTTTTAGAGCTGCATCAAAATCCTTTTTCCTGGTTTTTTTGGGGAGAAAAAGGGTATTTTTTCTTTTCCATACTTAAGAATAACCTATGAGTGAGAGGAATGGTCTTTGAGGAGCTTGTTCCT